CTCCTGAAAAAGCTCCTTTGGGACAACCATGACCTGGATGGCTGAGAGTCTCTGCAGACACATTTATGGCAGGGGGTTTCTCAAACTTGGCAAACCTAACTGGGGAATTCTGGGAGTTGAAGTCTACACACCTTCCAGTTGCCATGGTTGAGGAACGTTATTGTTTTGGCCCTGCTGATACCATTCCATCCCTTTCTTACCGAACAGTGTATTTGCCATGTTATAAACGATATAACTTGCATAGTCAGAACCTCCTCGCCCAAGGACAATCCTAATAGAAACAGCAGGGTGGCAATTATTTTTTTTCCTACGCACAACATCTGAGGTTTTGTCATTGCAGTATTGCAGAATTCTTGGCAGGTTTCCACACACAGCAGAGAGTCTTAAAAGATTTGATTTTTTTTCCCCCTTCTGCAATTGCAATTCCCATCATTACTGACTTGACAGTTGGATATGTCAGCTGGAGACTATGAGGACTAGTGTATCTGAAGAGATTAGACTGGGGAAAGGTGATAAGAAATGAGAAACATGTTCGTGTGGAAGAAGAAATCTCTGAAAGTTAAGGTTTTAGGAGACCATGTTCTATAACTAACAGCAAAAGACTATTTGGTGAACTCTGGTCAAATTGGAGTTTACAGCCGAGTGTTTGACTTTGCATCCAAGATGCTACATTCATTCTCAATCCTTTGCTGCAGGTGCACATAATCTGGGTCTGTTCCCTTTTTAATCTGCTTTTCTGCAAACCTCTCCTTATCACACATCATATAGATGGCTGATCTTTTCCCTTCTGTTCGTGGTAGATCATTGATCCGAAGATGCCCCGGGAAGGGATGTTCCACCATGGTGTCCCCATTCCTGTGCCCCCCTTGGAGGTATTGAAGCTGGGAGAGCAAATGACTCAGGAAGCACGGGAGCATCTCTACCTGGTCCTCTTCTTCGACAACAAGCGCACCTGGTAAGGGCTGCACCTCTTTCCCTTTCCCGGGTCCCAAAAGCTACAAAGAAAGGGCAAGAGCTCAATCAATCAATCAGAACAGAGCTGGAAGGAACCCTGGAGGTCTTCTAGTCCAACCCCCTGCTCAAGCAGGAGAGACAGGGCTGGGGGAGTTAGGGGCTGGGAGAGGAGGAGTGGGAACAGGGGGATGGAATAGCCCTCTTGTTTTGGGAGTGACTTTCGCACATTCCCTTCCTGCAGGCAGTGGCTGCCCCGCACCAAACTCGTGCCCCTCGGCGTGAACCAGGACCTGGATAAGGAGAAGATGCTGGAAGGCCGCAAGTCCAACATCCGGAAGTCTGTCCAGATTGCCTATCACCGAGCCATGCAGCACCGGAACAAGGTGCAAGGAGAGCAGACCAGCGACTCCAGCGAGAGCGACTGACCCTCCGAGGGGCTCCCGCCCTGGGTGCTCATTCAGTGCAGCTGGACTGTACGGGAGAAGAGAGCAGGGAGCTCCAGCCTTGGGAAGCCTGGCTGCAGGGACCTGCACAGAGCACCCAACAGCTCCTCCAGTGTGCTGGGCACACCCACAGAGCACTGTGCCCTTCACGTGGGCAAAGCCTACCTCTTGTGCCAGCCTGCCCTTCCTTGTTCCATGCCTGGAATCGCCCTGACCAGCTGCACGAGCAATACCCAGCTGCCTGCCTAGCTCCTATGGGCAGTACCCTAACTCTCTGGGTCTTTAAGGCTCTAGACTTTTGTAAGATACTGTATAATAGTGGGAGAATGTAAATTATTTGGGCTGCTCCATACACCTACCCCTTCCCAACATACAGAGTCTGGCCCCGTTTCCCTGCATCATAGCACCTGTCCAGATCCATCAGCCTTTCCTCGGCCCAGCCCCACCGACACTCTGCAGAGCAGGGCCACCATCTTCTCACTTGCACATTTTGATACTATAGCTTTTTGGAATCTGACTCAGCCTGATCCCCTTCCTCTTCCCCCCCAATCCCCCCACCACCACCTTGTAGAAACATGGCTCTTTCTGCTGCAGCCGGGTGGGCATTTGTACTTGTATTTATTTTGGAGAAAGAAGATCTCTATTGATTCTTAGAAAATAAAATGGCTCTTTTGGAACCAAGCGGGCTCGTTGCCTTTTTAAAATTCTCTTTGCAGAAAGGACAAGGGAATCCATGGTCATGAGAAGATGTGCTGACTCTTTGTTGTCTGTTTTCTCGGCTTCAATTAATCACTTGCCCAACCATTCGAGCTATCTTTAGTATCCTGTTATCAGGATTAGCATAGCCATCACCATTATTTATTGGGCATCAGCCACATACGTAAGATTTCATATCTAGAAACGGTGAGGATTGACTTTGTAGAAAAATCGGGTAAGGAATTGTTTTCATCATTCCTTGTATTTTAGTTTACTGCATTGAAACTTCATTTTTCCTTCAAAGGGCTCAGAGCATCAACAAATTATTCTCAAAGCTTTTCCCATCCAGATGACAAAGATCTTGCAAATTTTAGCACTATAACTTGTATAATAACACACTTGTATAATAACACATTTTGGACCAATAGTGCTAAATATGCATATGGTATTTTTTTTTAAAGCTTCTAATTACTTATTTTGGAGAGATTGTTGTCAAATCTATTCATTTCATCCAATGTTTAGATAGTGCCTTTCCTCCTACTGCAGTCACTTCATTTGTCGTATTTTAAAAGAAAGCTTTAATTTCCTTTTTCCCCCCTAAAGAGCCTTTTTGGAAGATCTAAACTGTGTGAGAATCATTTCGTGTAATTATAAATAAAAAATACATCCTAACATTGTGGGAGTATGAAGCTGGGATTGTTGTCTGCATTAGAAAAAAACCAACAACAGCAAAGCAGAAACACTTTCCCACCCCACCATCTCTAATTCACCAGGGCTAAACTCGTGCTTTTTCTCCCAAAGGCAGTAAAAGTTTACTGCCCCCCCAAACCTAAGGGAACGAGCTTATTAATTCCTCTCTGAAGTTTACTTGCAAGCATACGCACTGATATTGCAGGTGTCCAGCTAACTGAACCATATCTTGGCATTTTTAGCACCCTGCTAACATCCATAGGTAGCCTCACCCCACCCAGGCTCTTCACCTACAAAACAGTGGATGCGTGGAGAAATGGTGGAGGATAAGACAACAAGCAGACAATGAAGCAGGAAGTGATATTCGGAAATGTACAGTTGCTACAGGAGGTTAAGCAAAAGGGCAACTACCGGGATTACAAATGATTGTAAGCAACCCACTGTACTCCAGTTGTCTTTTTAAAAAAACCCTTTGAGATAACCATGACCTGGAAGATTCAGAATCTCCAGAGACATTTAACCCATTGTGGTGTGATTCCTACTTGGAGTTTGGCTTAGACTTTGGGCTGGAGTTTGGTAGCAGTCAGAAAGACCAACTACATCAAGGCAGCATTTAATCCCAATATACAAGAACTTTTGGAGGAAGGCAAAAATTGTGTGCCATTATAAAAATTTTAAGACTGTTGCTATAAGGAATAACTATCATTATTTACATGGCTACATCAACTTACAAAACCTAGGAGGATGGCATTAACCCAGGGCAAGTATTATTAGGAAAAGCATGGACCACAATAAAGCAGTTTGTACAGTTATCTTCTATGCTATGATGTCTCCAGTCTGAAAAACAAAGAATCCTCACAAGCATAAAAAGGGTTAAAAAAAACTTGTTTGAGTAAGAACTCTGATTTCACACAACTTGCATACTATTTTAGTATAAAATAGTATAGAGCTGGCCTTTAAGATGGTTAATTAATTATAGTATCCAAAGATCAAATGTATCTCATTTAAATTATTGTAATTTTTAATGAAATGTGTATTTGAATGATTGATGATGAAAACTGGTTTAAAATTAAATATGCATTATATACCCGCTAATTTTATCAATTTGGGTAATTTTAAAAAATGCATTACTTAGAAGAAGAATCTGGGATTCAAATGTTATGAGACAGATAGCATATACTATTTATAATTCCAGCTTCTGCTTCAATGCTCAGCATATTTATCTGGTGTGATCCTATTATTCTTAATGTGAATTTTAGCAAGTAAACAGCTAAAAGAAGTGGAATTCTAGCTTTTTTGTTGCTGTTAAGACCAAACCATAGTGTTTGAGGATCAAGTGTTTAATTCAAATGCCTTCCAGCACTTTCTTCAGGAGAGATTAAGGACTTATCACCTTGAAATGTCAGCAGTTAAGTGTTCCCCTATACAGTACTATACAGTACTATATGTCCTTTATCAATAGCGTACATTTTGAAAGTAAAATACCACTGCGTGTTAATTTATATGGCATGTCAAGGCGAATCTGGGTGGGGAAGAGCATTTATCTCTTCTTTTATGTATCTTTTCTTTTATGTACACTGAGAGCATTTGCACCAAGACAAATTCCTTGTGTGATCAATCACATTTAGCCAATAAAGAATTCTATCTATCTGTCTATCTATCTATCATCTATCTATCTATCCTATCTAAAACAATATAAATAACTTTAAACCAAACGGACAAAAAAGGCTGCCAAGAATAAAAAAAAACCCTCAGAATAACAACGATGCCCCTAATCCGGGCATGACTAACTTTCCAACTCCCATGGAAAAAAGAGGGGGGGAAGGATAATAGAAAGGATGCTTGCATTATTGTTTTCTGCCTGGAACTCTTGCTAGATATTTAAACTGCGATTATAGCAAAGAGTATCCAGCTCAAGGAACATTGTGCTACCATCTACTGGCTATCCTGATTTTGACATCCCAGGTAATGGTAGACCCATTTCCGTTTTCTCCTGAAAGGGCCACTTCCTTTCCCATCCGCCTTGTAACGTACAAGAGACCCTTTTCATGCCTATCAAGCCTTAAACCCGCGGACAGGAAGAATTCGCCTTGTGCCCAAAGACCCGGGCTTCCGCCCAAGCAGACTACAAAGACCTCCTCTCGCAGCCTAGAGCGGAGAGCGGTTGCCCCGCTCTACCCCTGCGCGGCCCCTCCTCTAAATTCAGGGGCCGTTCTCTATGGTGATCTTACGGACACGGAGGTACGGGTTTTGCGCCAAACTGGTGCAGCGAGAGCTGCGCGCTCCTCCCTGCCTCCTCCCTAAGGACAGCGACAGCAGAAGGTACAACATGAACGCCCGGCCCATCCAGCTGCCTCGAGCGACTCCCTGGCGCTCCCTGCCTTGCCCGCGCACCGAACTCCGCCTCGACCTGGTACTCTGTGGCGGGCAGACCTTCCGGTTAGTGCGCCCCCTGGCGGCTCCCAGCCAGGAATTGCAATCTTTTTCAAAAGCATCCCCCTTGAATTTGGCCCTTTGGCCCTTTTCTTTCTTTCTTTGTATCGCCGTCGCCCTTGGGCGGCTTTTCCTCAGTAGTCATGTTTAGTTTGTCCTCCTCTGGGATTGCTGCCTTGCTTCCCCTTGGCTGCGCCCCAAGGTTGTGCAGGTTTTGGGGTGCATAGAGGCCCAGTGCATGCATAAAAGCCCCGACAGGGTCGCGCGCGAGAGAGAATAGGGGTGGGGTGGGGGAGAAGAGCGAGAGATACTGGCGATAACGTTCTGCTTCTGCAAGCAATGCTTTTGCAGGCTTTTTCCATCATTCGCAACGACCAATCTTTTTTTTTAATTATTATTATTATTTTGGTTCATCTCCCATTTGTAAGAGAAACGAAGATGAGCACCGCCCCCTATTAGTTGGTAAGGGCTGGCGAAGTAAAATCCGCAGGGATTCCTTTCCCTTTACCACTTGTAAGAAGGATCTTTCTTTTTTGCAAAGAGAGAACGGCACTCCGTAGGTTTTGGGGGGAAGGAAGGTTACCATTTGCATTTTGCTAATGGTGCTACCCCTTTTCTCCCTCCTTCCAAAGCCACAGCATCATTAGATGTTTTAAAAAACCCTTCTAATTCTTCTAAGCATGATTGATCAGTAGATTCTATCCAGTCCTTTTAAATTCCTTTGTTTTCTGCATATAATCTTGGGCTCCAAACCATTCCCCCTGGGCACAGCCATTGGCTCTCTGAATTCTCTCATGCTGCCATTGTATTGTCAGAGAACCTGAGAGATCACTGCAATAGAAGAAGATATAGGTAGCTTAGGGGTGAACGGGGGAGTCTTTATTACTCTCTGAGCTCTGAGTTGTTTGCTTGCAGATGCTTCATTGTCCACCAAGGATTTTATAGATCACTTACAGACCTATGAAAAATCTCCTGGATCAGGTGAAATCTGCAACTAAACAGAACAGGTACAACAGATTGTTAGGACTACAAAAAAAAACAACACAATTGTAACCAGCCTGCCTTCCATTGAGGACCTGTATACTTCACAAGCCAGAAAGAGGGCTGAGACAATATGATATTTATAGACCTCTCATCCTAGACATAAACCGTTTCAACTTCTCCCCTCAGGATGCCGCTATAGGGCATTGCATGCCAAAATAATTAGGCAAAAAGCTAGTTTTTCCGCCATGCCATCACTCTGCTAAACACACAACTCCCGCAGCACTTATGCCTAAAGATATTTACCAATGTAGTAGGGCTGTATTACTGTTATATTTCTCATCTTCTTAAAAGGCAACTAGACTTTTGTTTTTCCTTGCAGATGTTTCGCTTCTCATCCAAGATGCTTCTTCAGTTCTGACTGACTGGTTTAAATCCTTCCATCCTCCACCATTCAGTCAGAAGCGAAGAAGCTTCTAAGACGAGAAGCAAAACGTCTTCAAGGAAAAACCAAGTCCAGTTGCCTTTTGAAAAAGCACCTTTGAGACTATAATCAGAATAGAGCTGGAAGGGACCTTGGAGGTCCTCTAGTCCAACACCCTGCTCAAGCAGGAAACCCTAAACCAGTCTTAAAAACCTTGAAGCACCCACAACTTCTAAAGGCAAAGCTGTTCCACTGGTTAATTGTCCTCACTCCTTAATTCCAGGTTGCTTCTCTCCTTGATTCGTTTCCTGCCTTCTGGTGCTTTGGAAAATAAACGGACCCCCTGTTTTTTGTGACAGTCCCTCAAATACTAGAATACTGCTATCATGTCACCCCTAGTCCTTCTTTTCTCTAGATTGGCCATACCCAATTCCTGCAACCATTCTTCATGTTTTTGTCTTTAGGCCTTTAATCATCTTAATTGCTCTTTGCACTTTTTCCAAAGTCTCAGCATCTCTTTTGTAATGTGACCAAAACTAGATGCAGTATACTGCGGTATTGCAGTATTCAAGGCTTTAAAGTAAGAAATACCATTAAATGACCTGGCTGACTGAGAATCTCTTTCAAATACCATTAAAGTTGCCTGTACTCTCAGAGGCCCGATTGTGAGATATATGAGAAAGGAGCTTCTCCTTGGTCAGTTGCAAGCAACGGAGTGCCTTTCTTCCAGAAATAAATTTATTTCTCCTTCCATTTTCAATAAAGGAATTAAGCCTGTACTTCCCAACCATTTTTTTTAATTGCATCACTAATAAAGATAATTGCATGTTAGCCAATAAAATTTAGATTGTTTACCTTTGAGTGCCATATAGATAAAAGGCAGGAAATAATAAGATAATAATTTTATAACTTTAGAAGTGATGTTTGGAGAAGGGAGTAGCTGAACAGTAGAACATAGGCCCAGCTTCTATTACTGGTTGTGCTGTCCCAGCCAAATAGTTCAGATATTTGATCAGAGTTGATTGGAGAGCAGCTGTCAGAGACGCTATCAAGTTAGTTGAAAAACAAGCTCACTACTGTAGCTATAAGAAGCTTCCTTTTTTTTTCTCTTCCCATTTTGCATGCTTAAAAGTTACTAGGCGTACTGTTTTCTTTTCATTATCTTGGCTCCTAAGATCAGTTAGCATTCTCATCATGCAATTTAATATAATTATTAATACTTAAAGTGAGGATACTTTCCAAGAACTGGACATTCCACACCATAACAAATCTGTGTATAGTGTTTTAGCATACCCCACTTCCATGCACATTAACCAGCAGTCGGAAGACACAATGAAAACTCCTTAATTTCACAACACCTGGATAGACTTAAATCATAGTTTCAACTGGGAAACTGTGACCATCCTAGAACAAGCCAAGTCCAGGGACACTAGAGAATACCTAGAAGCCTGACACCCTGACAAATCAGCCATCAATTGACAAAAACAATATCTACATACAGGTAGTTCTTGACTTACAACTACAATTGAGCCCAACATCACTGTCTCTAAGTGTGACAGTTGTTAAGTGA